CATTACTTGAAGTGAATTGGCCTTATTTAAAGTAACTAACCATAAATAAATAGAAAAAGTAAAAAAAAGATCAAAAGCGAGAAATAATATACTGTATGTATGTTGTGTTGTCAAAGTTAGAGGAACAATTCAAACTGCAATTGTGTGTAAATGAGGCAGAAAGTCAGGTCAGCGCTGAACCTGGGACTTGGTCACAATTTTCGTGATGCCATATGGCAGCAGGGTCTACCATTAGACAATACATTATGCTTCCAATATCTTCCCAGGCGGTAGTATCTACCTGTTTGGTAGCTGCCTACTACCTACACAATTTTTAGTAATATTACTTTGATACATGATAAATTAGACAATGAAAATAAACATCAAATTTAATTACCAAGACGCTTCCCATTGGCAGCTGTAAGAAGAGGGGGAGATGGGCTATTTTTATCCCGTCTTTGTGTCTGAAGTGACCAGTAATACCATATATTTATGGTATCTCCTATAAATAATTAATTTAAAATTTATTTTTTACATAGAATATTCAGTAAATGACTTTTAAATAAATAAACAAATAATTCGGTAAATCTATTTCAAGTAAATGGAAAATAAGCAAACAAATGTTATTTACCACCACCCCTTCCCTCTGGCTCAGAATGAGATGGAGGGGAGATAAAGAAGGCTATTTATAGCCCATCTTTGTGTCTGAAGTAACCAGTACTCTAATGCACCATAAATAATTCATTTAACATTTAGTTTTTGTACATATATTTTGTTGTATATATATATATATATATATATATATATATATATATATATATATATATATATATATATATATATATATATATATATATATATATATATATATATATATATATATATATATATATATGTATGTATGTATGTATGTATGTATGTATGTATGTATGTATGTATGTATGTATGCATAATAATAATAATAATTATAATAATAATAATAACTAACGGTTTATTGAAAAGTTCTGCAGCACGAAGGCTGAAAATATACATTGGATATAAATGACTTATTACATACATTGGTGGTTTAACAAAAGCCTTCATTAGAGAAAGGTAAAGGAACATACAGTGAACATACAGATTACAATGTAGGTGTTGAACAGCAAACACGTAGTGTAGTAACTCTCTCCCAGATGGTGTTAGGAGGGACCTGATGTGGTGTAGTAATTCCCTCACAGATGGAGTTATGAGGGGCCTCACGTGCAGTAATTCCCTCACAGATGGTGTTATGAGGGGCCTCACGTGGTGTAGTAGTTCCCTCATAGATGGTGTTACGAGGGGCCTCACGTGGTGTAGTAACTCCCTCACAGATGGTGTTATGAGGGGCATCACGTGGGGTACGAATTCCCTCACAGATGGTGTTATGAGGGACCTGACGTGGTGTAGTAATTCCCTCACAGATGGTGTTATGAGGGGCCTGACGTGGTGTAGTAATTCCCTCACAGATGGTGTTATGAGGACCTGACGTGGTGTAGTAATTCCTCACAGATGGTGTTATGAGGGACCTGACGTGTAGTAATTCCCTCACAGGATGGTGTTATGAGGGCCTGATGGTGTGGTAATCACAGATGGTGTTATGAGGACCTTGACGTGGTAGCACCCTCACAGATGGTGTTATGAGGGACTTGACGTGGTGTAGTAACTCCCTCACAGATGGTGTTATGAGGGGCATCACGTGGTGTAGTAATTCCCTCACAGATGGTGTTATGAGGGGCTTGACGTGGTGTAGTAATTCCCTCACAGATGGTGTTATATGAGTGAGGTGTGGCCCCAGGCCTTCCTATGGTAGACGGATTAACACATCGCCGGTTGTTGGGTCTCACGGGCCGTTATCACTGGGTACCTGGGACCTCACTGTGTGAAGGTTAACTTGAATACGACTTTTACTGTTGAGTTGTTCTCACTAACTCAAGCACTGTTCACCAATGTTCACCTCTGTTTAACACTGGTTCCATTCCTTTCCCAAATGAAATTGTAACTTCTGGCGAGAACCTATTGATACTCCGGTGGGGAGAAGTGGTTCAGGGGAGGGGGTTGGTATGGGCCAACTTAACAGTTGACCTGGCTGCTCCGAGAGGAGCGCCAGGTACGTCTTGACCCTTCGGTGGTCAAGGATGTATGTATGTATGTATGTATGTATGTATGTATGTATGTATGTATGTATGTATGTATGTATGTATGTATAGAGGTTAACCACAAGAAGAAGAAACACGGTTCCCTGCAATTCACATCTCTTCCTTGTGGTTATCAGCATATACTCCAGATCACGACCAGCAGTGATTTCATATATATATATATATATATATATATATATATATATATATATATATATATATATATATATATATATATATATATATATATATATATATATATATATATATATATATATATATATATATATATATATATATATATATATATATTGACTTCAAGTAAATGGAAAAATTTTACTCGACACAGACATTAGTTCCAGTTACCGGTAAATAGCAGACGCTTCAGTGACATCACTAGTGTTTACACTACACCAGCGGGTAACATTTGATGACATTACTTGAAGTGAATTGGCCTTATTTTAAAAAACCAAGGATGGTTGGTAAAGGACTCCTGAGTCAGTGGGTAAGTGTCACATTTGGGGTATTGGTCTTATACAGCGAATAGAGCTCAAAAGCTACTTTTTAAATAGAAATTTGGGGGGGCCGTCTTATTCACCCTGACGCCTTATAGGCCGAGATATACGGTAATGTACCGTTGAAAACATGTCACGGGGTAACTTCTGTGAGAGTTTAGTTTTCTGTCTTAATACTAATCCTTTTCTATTCATAAAACTACTACACCTTCTTGTTGCCTTGAAGTCTTTACCGGTGTCTGGATTTGACTTGGCCAGCTTCATTGCGTAAATACATATGTTGTTCCCGGTGATGACGTATCCACTCTCTCGGTTCTCGTTGACCCACTCGAATAATTACTCCTCCAGTTCTGGCCACTGTTGTTTACCTCTTCTCAGGGCACATTTTGTTCTGGTGATGTCTATTAACTTTTCTTCAGCCTTCTTCCACTCTCGAACCTGCTTCTCGTTAACGCCGAATTCTCTTGCAGCTGCAGAGTTGTTTGGTGCCTTTGCAAATCTTGCAACTTTTAACTTGAATGATGCGTCATATTTCATTCGTTTTGCGGGTGGGCCCACTTTACCATAAGGTTTAAAGACAACCACCTCATAGATATGGAAAATGCCAAGTGGAGAGAATGTGGTAAACAGATAAGAGGTCGACTATGAGGGTGAGTCAGTCCAGTATCGAATGTTAAACCGCTCGTAACGGTAATGCTCATAAAGAGATAAGAGGTCGACTATGAAGGTGAGTCGGTGCAGTATCGAATATCAAACCGCTCGTAACGGTAATGCTCATAATGAGTTGAGTTTGGGGGTCGTTTTATACACACTACATCAGCCTAGAACTGATCTTTCAGCTAAATGTTCGGGGGTCGGCTTATACGCCAAGAAATGCGGTACTAGTTGAAAAAACAATTTCTTGTACCACTTCAGGCATTTTCTGAGACAGTCTGTGGAACCAATCATCATGTCAGTTTTATCAATCGACCACATACAGTCAGTCCTCCACTTACGACGGGGTTAGGGACTGATGACTAGGTCGTAAGTCAAAAATGCTTAAATAATACCCCTGTACATATAAAATCTAAAATGGGTGTCTCTTTTTCTTCTCAGCACCACAAAACTCTCACTTTTAAGCTTGCCAGCTATTTTAAAGGGAATTACAAACGAAAATTTTGTCAGTACACAGTGCTGTAAAATACGATAACTTCCAGTAACTCAGAGATTGCACCACCACATGCAGCACTCAACATCCATTCTGGTGATTTAAATACAAGTGTTGTGTGCTTTTATTGCCATGTTACATCATGAATGAATCATTGTATGTGTTTAACCCTGAAGCCCCAGGTTAGGGTGCTGCTGGCAGTACCCCTCACCCGGGGTGAATCGAGAAAAATTAACTATTCCCAAAATAATTTTTAACCTTTTTAAATAACAAAATAATAAATAAATAAGGAAAACTATATATTGACCCTCCAGAAACTTCCCTGGTGAGCGCCTGTGGTTACCTATGCACTTAGCAACTATTTTTAGCTTGCCTTTGTGTCTGAGGTGGCCAATAATGCATATATTTACTGATAATACTTATTTGCTATAAATTATTCATTTAGAATATTTATTTGCACTATTTTTCATAAAAAGTGCTTGGCAACACACAGTCGGTCGCCTGGCTGTCTGTGTTTGGTTGAGCAAGTAACGCATAAAATAATAATAATTCCACAAATAAATACAATTACTGTATAACATAATCATTGCATTATTTTCCAATAATACTACACTACTTTTAGTAATATTACTTTGATACAACATGATAAAATGGACAAACAATGAAAATGAAACAAGCAGAAGTAGGTACTGTAATTAGTTTCAGGAAGCTTCCCTGTGGCCGAGTGTGTGGTGTGAGAGGCAAATAGTCACACTGGAACCTGATAACCCGCGCTGGGCATTTAAACAGTGGCGGGAAAAGGCGCGCGTTCTGAAATGTCACCCGGGACGTAAGGGGTAAAACTGTTTATATTCATTCATATATGTGCCTGTATTATGTTTTTTGGTAAAAAAAATTCCTTGGGAATGCATCTCAAATGATATAATGGGAGTAAATAGGAAAATTGGTCCCACATTACGGACAAATTTTCAGGAACAGAACCCTTCCATAACCAGGGGGATGCCTGTATTGGCTTTGCATTGTGGTTGGCAGTGGGGTAGGACATTTTTCCCTGGCTGTACATACAGTTTACTTCCATGAGTGTTCTCTTCTTTATTTTACTTGGCCCTTAGTACTACAGTAATTTGTTACGTGCATTCTTGCTGTTGCTTTATCATTTCTTATAACTCCAAATGCCATTCATTACACAGTGGTTTCCCCACACAGGGAATGGTGTTTCGACGAACAGTTGAGGGCGCTGTTACTTCAAAGGAAAAGGCTAAACTCGCAGTGTACTCCTGTCCATTTGATGTGACCACCACAGAGACAAAGGGAACAGTTTTGATTAAGACTGCTGATGAATTAGCCAATTTCTCAAGGGGAGAGGAAAACAAAATGGAGGATGATGTAAGTACCTATTGGTATACAGTACAGTACTTCGATTTTATTATCTAGCTAAGTATTTCTCTACCTTTGCAATTTGATTTATCCTAAACATGTAAGAAATTCTTCAGTAAGAAGATAAAAGGAAAACATAGGAATAGTTGGGAGTGGTAAAAGTGTATAACAATATACACACATCTGTTTGCCTTTGGTTAGTGTTATTAAAGTAAAAAAAATCAGACTTAGCATGGTGAAATATAAGTTTATCAAAGCATTTCTTTTGATTATTAAAGGTTAAATTTCATACACAGACCTATGTGAAAATAACCGGATTGTTTTGTGTAGTGCAAGAAAGTGTTGCCTTTTGAGAGAGGGTGTTCACTGGGGTAGATATGTGATACTCTGTTTTCTTCTTTGAATAAATTGATGCATTTTCCAATATTAGGTTAAAGCTCTATCAGAAGCTGGAATAACGGTAGTTGTAGCTGGCGGCAAGATAGGTGACCTTGCCCTTCACTACCTAAACAAGTATAAGATTATGGCAGTACGTATCGTAAGTAAATGGGATCTGCGCCGTCTTTGCAAGACAGTTGGTGCCACAATCTTGCCAAAGTTAACCTGCCCAACTCCAGAAGAAATTGGTCTCTGTGATAATGTGTTCATGGATGAGGTTGGAGACACC